TTGTATTTCTGGGAATTAAAATAGTCTATCCTACAGATTTACTCTTATGAAAAATTATAAATACACACAAAATTATTGATTATAAGTCTTTGAAACAGCAAAAACAAGGTAATACTTTAAGGGTCTATCCATAGGGACTAAATAAATATGACGTATCCACTAAAAATTGAAACAAACCTTATTTTGAACTGGTAAGGAAAAATCAACATATGCTGTTCAATAGAAAAGAAAGAGACTAGAATAGTACCTATACATGGGGTGATCAAAACATACATTGAGGGCTGGGGATATAGCTCAGTGGCACCCTGCCTGCCTGGCAAGCTCAAGGTCCTGAGTTCGATTCCCAGTACCAAAAGAAACACACATTGAATGCTCAAATTTTTTAAAAGCCTTATTACAGTAAAAGATACATTGCCAAGAATGACAAAATAAGTGTGTTCAAAACAAGGGGGAGTATTTTGAGTATTTGGGGGGAAACTGATAGCAATGTGTTCCTTTGTTGTAATAATTTTTGTATTTAAACATATATCATATTTTTATCACCTCAATTTTTGATCAACTGTCTATGATAATTTCTGTCAAATAAAAACATCATTGTGTGTCATCATCCACCTTATTCACTGAATATGGCACTGTGAGACTCCTGGCTCTTCCCCAAAGTCAAAATGTCTGTGCAAAGGAAACATTTTGAATCAATTCAGAATCTTGAGCCAGTAATGACAGTACAACTAAAGACACTCATGAAAAAGAATATAATATGCTACCACCTTAAGGGAATTTATTTCTATATATAGCCATGTATATATAATTTATAAATATACATACATATTCTTATATTTAGAGAATATCTACAAAAACACACTTTTTAAAAGTCATTTTTTAAAAAGACACCTCATCTTTCAAAGCCCATGTCATATTCTTTTTTCTTTTCATTTTATGAAAAAATGAAATGCTTTCATAATAAAATAATGAAAGAATAACAATAGCTATTACACTATGTATCATTATCTTCAAAATACTCAGTACAAGGCATAAACCAGAAAGATTCTTACAAAAAAGAAACAAAGACATACTAACACAAACTTTCTTGGCTATATGAGAACATGTCATTATTTATCTTCAAGTACACTGATTGATCATTCTGTCAATGAAAGATGAAGATGCTGCATTAGTCATGTTAAATACAATATTACATCTTTTGCTTATTCATCAAATGTACCTAGTATTTACTGAATGTGCATAATTCACTGAGTAGTACCAAATGCACATGCATCTTTATTGCCTTTTTGTTTTATCTGATAATCTAAAAAGCACATGGAGAATAAAAGTTAAGAGGTCATTTGCTTCGAAGTTAATACTATTTTTCCTCCTACGGCAATCATCAGAGTTTTACCTTTTCTAGTTCCTTGGTTTCTTAACAATACTTGGATTCCCTCTTAAAAATATTTTCCCTTGCCACTTGCCTCGCAAGCACAAGGACCCAAGTTCGATCCCCGGTACCAAAAACAAAAAAATATTTTCCCTTTACATCTTTTTATTTCCCTCATATTCATGCTACTTTCTCTCATTACATATCTAAGATAACAACTTTTAAAAAGATTCTTGAGAATCATGGTACAGTCGTGAGATGGGGAGAAGTGCACAATACTCCCCAACAGGTACTTTTTATTTTTGCGAATGGCCAAGGGACTGCCTTCACCAAAACTACCCAACTTCAGTAGCAAAATACAGAGTAAAACTTCATGCACTGGAGGTAGGGCAGAGGAGTAAACACAGGAGTTTGCCTTAATAACTCAGTGCTAGACTGGTGAAATCTAACAACAGGCAGACCCTAACAGCCCCCATCTACAGGCGGGTGCCAGGGAACGGAGCTTCTAGAACAGCTCCAGTGGCAGGCCAGACAGGCAAGGACCAGTCTATCGGCCTTCTGTTCCTACCACAGTCTCCTGTGGCTGCCTGTCATGGTCCCGGCCATCAGTCCACCCCAGCAGTAAGCAGCACACAGTAGTGTGGGCCTGGGACCTACCCCAGTGCTGGGTTGGTCTTGGCAGGCTGCGAGCTTGGGTGCGACACAAAGTTGCAGTTCTGGTGGCCACAGGACTGCCTACCCAATTCCTCCCACAAATGCAAGCACGGGAAGAGTCACTGCCTGCTTGGGGAGGAAAATGGAAAGAGTACCAAGTCATGACACCAGAACCTGGAGTTAGTCCCTCCATGGTACTTACTCACAGAGACAGGAGCAGAACCAGGCAGCACGGCATGGTGCCTATCACAGGTCCCTGACTGTGGGTGAGGTCTCTGGGTCCACCTGTTGCAGAGAGACCTACAGGCAGAGACTAGCCCTTGTAGGTACTCCCGCAGTTTACAATGACCACATTAACTAGATTTGGAACAAAACTGAGTTTGGGTCACCCTCTGGGGCTGGCTGAAACAGTGAGGAGAAAAAAAAGAAAATGACTATGAAAAGAAAAAGAAATATTAGTGAAAGATCTTCAAACTGAAAGAGACAATAATGAATAAGAAGAAAATAAGGTATAAAACTCGCTGGTGAGAGTAATTATGCAGACAAAATCAGAATGCTTTAATATTATAAACATGGCACATCAATCATTCATATCTTTAGTATTAAGATCAAAAAAGTCAAAATAATAATAACTACATTAATAGGTTAAGGGATGAGAAATACAAGAAGATGTAAAATGAGAAATCAAAACTTTAAAATGTGAGGAGAAAATTTCAAAATGTGGGCCTGAACAGAATGCAAGTGTAAAGTTTATTAAAACATTTTGTCTTTCTCAGTTTCTCATCCTTATGATCATGATGTGTAGCTATTGTTTCAAAATAGCTTGTTATAATCAAAAAATGTTTTTGAAAGCTTTATGATGACCACAAAGCAAAAGTCCATAATAAACAAACCAAAAATTGTAAGGAATCAAAACACTCAAATTAAATCATTTAACCATAAAGGAAGACCACAGGAGAGAGAGAAGTACACACGGCATGCATGTATGGAAATATCACACTAGGCCCCATTAATATATACAATTAATACATGTTGATTAAAAAATGTACTGTACATATTGATAACTGTAGTTAATAACAATGTATTATATATTTGAAAACTGCTTAAAAAGTAGACTTTAAGTCTTCTCACAAAAATAAATATGTGAAGTAATAAATACGCTAAATATCTTGATTTACCCATTCCACTATATATATATGAAAACATCATGTTGGACACTATAAATATACAATTTTTACTTGGCAATCTAAAAACATAAGTAAATGAGAGAGAGAGAGGGAGAGAGAGAAATAATAAAACTATAAACTCAAGCTACAAAATGATTGATACAAAATAATCTTACCTACCAATAATTACTTAAAATGAAGTTTAAGTATTCCATTAATATGGGTATTCCATATTAATGGGTTTAAGTATTCCAATTAAAAGACACAGTTTATCTGAATGGACTTATAAAGAACAAGATCCAACTCTATGTTGCTTACAAGAAACTCACTTTATACTATTTCTATTGTTTAGAAATGACAGATACACTTCTGTGTGAATAAGTACAAAGTCATGGACTTATAGGAAAATAAATCAAAATTGTATTTAGAGAATGATTATAAAATTTAAATAGAAATATTTGGAATAACCAAAACAGCTTTTAGAAGAAACGAAGTTAGAGTTCTAACATTACTTGAAGACAGCAAAAGTCTACAGTAACCAAAATAGTGTGGTACTGGCATAATGATGGATCAATGAAAGAAAGTGGAGGGAGACTCTATATACACCCCCTCAAACATAGATCATTAACTTTTGACAATATGGCAAAGGCAACAAAGTAGAGAAAGGATCACCTTTTCAATAAATGGTGCTGGAACAATTGGATTATTCACACGCAAATTTGTTTTAAAAGGATGCTTAAAGCTTACCCTTTTTTATCATACAAAAAAATTAATCAAAAAATGGATCATAGATCTAAATGTAAAATCTAAAAGTATAAAACTTCTTACAAGCAAATACAGGAGAATATTGCTTTTTCTGTGATTTGGGCTAAAGTTCTAAAACTGCTAGAAAAAATGAGAGTACAACATCTTCTAGACTTGGGGGCAGGGGGTGGTTTCTTAGATAAGACACAGAAAGCCCTACTCATAATAACAAAGAAGACATCAAAAGTTTTTGCTCATCAAAAAATACTGTTCAAAATGTATAATTGATATTGTGTAATAGAAAGAAAAGGTCTAAAGGAGTAGGGGAAGTGGGAGGGGTAGGGGAAAGGAAAGAAGGGAAAAGGGAAAAGAGAAAAGAAGGGAAAAGAAAAAATATGAGAAAAAGAAAAAAATGGGAACAAAGTCTATGTAAATAGGGAGGGGTGGGCAGGGGAATCGGGAAAAAATAAGAACCAAGATACATCATGTAAAGGTACAAGATCCAAATGATGAATGTAACTGTACTGTATACCTAAAATGTACCAATAAACTTAATAGGAAAAAAATACTGCTAAACTGTTTAACCAAGTTATATTTTAAGAAATTTCAAGGGAAGATATTGTCAGTGCATTCAGCTTAATAAGGAATATAAAGCACATTGAAAGTCCAGTAATTTAAAATAAACATAAAATGTACCCCAAAATTAATATTCACAGTTCACAAAAGAAAATATGTGAGAATGGCTAATAAACATAGGAAGAAATGTCTTATGTCTTTACTCAAGAAATACAAATCAAGACTGCTATGAGATACTTCACAATCAGGCTTCAATTTAACACAATAAAAAGTGTTACCCTGTTTTATTTCACTTCTTTATTCTGGGAAATCTGTCTGATAACACTTCCATATCAAACATAAAATAGTGTAAACCTATCATAGCTAAAGTCTTCAACATCACATTAGCATTTACATAAAACAAAGAGGTTTACATTATATTTAGGTAATTTACTCTCACCTAAACATCTATAAGAACAGCACATTTACCTCAAGATTAAGCAAATATTTACCTGTCTGAAGCGGTGTCACTGACAGTTTGGTGCCTCACTCCTGACCCATCTTTAATAGACTCCTGTCTTGTGAGCCCATGAGAGCGACTCCTCTCCACTGCAGGTACAGATAAATCACCTGGGCGTCCTTGGAACTGGGCCTGCTCATGGAGCTTTGCTTTCTTCTCCTGAGGCGCTTCTTCATTTCTCACTCCTCCGGGAACCTTTTGATCAGGCTGCTGTGGTGTATTAGATCCACTATTATAGAACCATGCTCCAGATTTAGTGAGGATTTCTTGTTGTTTTCGGCACAAATTACATACCCACATAACCTGTGCGTGAAGACAAAGGGAAAAGAAATTGTGTTCTTAAAAGTTAAAAACAATCGAAAAAGACAGTAATTCAAGCCAAAAGAAATTATATGGTTGTCCTTCTGAAGTTAAAATGCAAATCGGATTAACTGCTACTATAAATTAAGTGATTTAGCCTTTCTTTTGATTTTGTCAGAATAATTAGTACACATACCAAACCAGAGTATCAAATTACTAGTTGTTTATTTGTATCCTTTATTGTTCATTTATTAGAAGTATGGTGTTGTATATAGAAAATGGATTTTGAAGCTAAATACTTGAGTCCAAGATTACAAATTGTTCAACCTTCAAGCAAGGTACTGAACCTTCTTATCTACAAAACTTCATTTCCTCAACAACAAAAACAAAAGTGAGGGGCATAAAATTGGTAACTTATTTTCCCATACTGTTTTGAAGATTAAAAGTAATTATGCAACATATCTAGCAAAATACCTGTTATATGTTAGACTTCCAGTAAATATTAGGATAATCTTTATCACCAATCATATTAAGTATTTTTTGAGGGAACTTTTATTTCTTTTAAGTGGATCTTAATGGCTAAAATAAAGCTAGGAATATTGTGGCTTTCAATAAAAATCTGTTAACTGCTCATAATTTATAGTAATATACTTGATTTTTTTTTTGATTTTTTTTTTACACTTGATTTTTAAAGTGCTGAGAAACAACTTAAAATTTACTATCTCAACTATTTTTAACTGCACACTTTAGTAATGTTAAATATACTCATACTATTGCAAAACAGATCTCCAACACATCTCTTGCAAAACTGAAAGCTATACTTAATTAAAAACCAGCAGTCCTTTCCTTGTACACCCAACCCCTGGCAATAACCATTCTATTCTTGTTATGTTTTTCAATCTTATAATTAATATCTATGTAACCAGAAAACTTCATGCTCTACAAAATATTTTTCAGTTAATCAGAAAAAAATTAAATATTAACTAATAAATAAAAGGAGTTCATATATCAAGTGAGTCTGATGTTTTATTTTAAATACTGGATCTTATCCAGCACGTCATGTTACTAAACATTTTTTTCACAGATAAATTATAACAATAATGATAATCATTGTAAAAGTTTTCAACTGAAACACTAATTTTTATAAAATATCCTTAATTGTTTGCATAATTTTCCATTATCTTAGTTCATATTGTTTGTATAGTTCATATTCTACAACACTGAACTTGATCTTTTTTATTACTCTTTCTTTTGTTGAATTGTACATACATTTCTTTTTTTTCTCCAAGTAAATTTTAAGCTACAGGGGACAAAGAATATATCCTTTACTAGCATTGTAAGATCTTATAAGTCATAGAACACTATGAACTACTTTTTTTTATCAGTACATAATTGTAGTATATAATGACCACACTCCTTGTGGAGAACTGATACATGTACATGACAATCTCTTTTTTTTTTTCTTTTTTTATTTTTTTCCTTAAATTCTTTTTTTTTTTCATTTGATATAGAGGATCAAACTCCGTTCCTCCTGAGAGGAAGGCAGGCGGCGGAATTACTGAGTTAAATCCCC